CAACTTATTACATTTGAAGCAGAAACAAATATGAGAGAAGAGCATTCATAACAAGAAATAGACAACCAACTTTCAAGGCAAGATCCATCTCACCAAAACAGTGGTACTAGAGGAAGAAGTTCTTGCTTCGGTAAACTCATATAAAAAAAAACTTCAGTGTAAGGGACATCATTTGTGAAAAGATCATGCTGCAAGACCTTTACACCACTGATATCTCCAACCTACAGTCAGATGTATAGAAACTTAGAACAAATAAAGCTGAAAGAGAACATTTAGAAGAGATGGACATTGAGCTTTATGTTAACCTCTGTGGGAACACAGATTGGTTCCTTGGGAATATCATGTAAAGATAGGCTTGGAACACTTCTTAAGGCTTCTGAAGTAGCACGTGCTAGCTCTGCTAGATCTTCCTCTGTCAAACTAGCTTTAACTTTCTCCAAATTTTCTTTTTCAGCTGCTTCATCACTAGAAGCATTCTCCGGATCAGGCTGAAGGAAAAGAAGTTCACTCGTATGTAATTTAATTACAATGAAGAATTAAATAAACATAGAAAGGGAAGTTTTAGGTTCGAGCAATTCCTGCATTTCTATGGTAACACAATGGGGATTGTTCAAGATTAATTTCTCTATTAAAGGAAAGAAAACAGCCTTGGAGCCTTTCTCAACAATTCTGGCTTTCAGGACCATTAAAGGTTTCTCATATCTCAACGGCTCGAAAGGATCCATATCTTATATCCACTTACCCCGTAAAATATAAGCAAAATAAAAACATATATTTACAAATTAAAAGAGAGAGAGAGAGAGAGAGATAAAGGTTGGATAATAATTTAAATTTTAAATTAAGTTACGAATGAAAAAACTTACAATGGTGCGAAGCATTAGAGACAAGCCACGAGGAAATGATCCAATATTGTTCTCTCTGAGTGAAAACTCAATTGTATTCATAGATGCCTCCACAGAATCCTTGTCAAAACCTTCTTCAGCTAACTTTCTAAGAGAACTCATGATTAATTCTTCTACTTTTGGAATATCATCTTCAGAAACTCCCTTCAACCCAATGCTAAACTGAGGCTGAAGAAGTTCATCTTCCACCCCACCACCAATAATGGCGTCTCCAAGACCACTTTCAAGCAACACTTTCCTCAAGGGAGAAGCAGGAGTTTTCTAGTCCAATGACTTATCAGGAAGCAGCCAATTAAGGCATGCCATGTGCTTCTTCTTCAGATCACCACCTTCACCAGCTGGATATTTCTCAACAATCCTCACTGGTTCTGAGAAAAGCTTCTGAGGTTCAACTTTTGATTTGCCTGAAGCTGTGCTTGCATCAAACATTTCTAGATATTCTGAGAGAGAGAGAGAGAGAGTAAATGCTACAGTTTAAAATTGTTTAAAAAAAAAACAACATTACAATAGGTAAGACAACAAGAATAAACAATTGACATAAATATATGGTGAATGACCGAGAAGTGCTGCCCTAACAATTATTCTATATCTATAAATTGGAGAAGAGAAAATAGTGTAATACATTCATCTTACTGTCTGATTCGTAAGGGCAGAGTAAACAAAAATAAAAAAAATCTTTGCCCACGGGATTTCAGTCTAAGAACTTAAATATAGTACATAGCAATACCCAAATAATTAAAAGGGTTATTGTACTTTTTGGTGCCAAAAATGAAGCAATAAAACACTTATTTCATCACCAATTTATCTTATGGGGACTTCATTTTGTCATTTAAATGGCCAAGCTGGCATGGTTTTGAAAGACATTCTTTATTTTGAGGTTTCCAGTCTCTATAATATCCTTATCTATAACTCTTCGCTGCATCACTTCCCTTTTGAACAGAGTCATCCACATATTTTAAGGGAGATAAGAGGATTTATATTAAGCAAAAGTTCAGACATCCATTCATGAATAACAACCGCGATTCTATTTATTACCACTTAGGATATGCAAGCGTTCATTTGGATCATCATCTCCAAAAAACCATATCCTGGCATTGTTGGGATGGTGTTTGTGGTGAAATTCCTGTAATTTCAATTCAGCAAAACGAGAGAAACCATATTTACCAACAGCAACACTAATAACCATAAAAGTAACAAACAAACACATTTGTTCGTTCCCTACATGCACAAGTAGACATATGCGGAATACAGATGAGCCAGGATAAAGTATAAACCAAAACACAAACCATACTTAGTGAAAAAGACCAAGAGTCGGGGCCTTCTAACCAACAGAAGTTGAAACAGAAAACTAAATACAAGAGACACAGCATCCAGGTATACATCAACAAGTTTATAGAAATACTGTTCAGAAAATATAAACCACGTTAAAAACAGAAGTTTAAGAATATTGAAATTTTCATTTTCACAACTCTACAACAGATTTTTTTTCTTTTATATTTGTGTTTGCAGTTTGCACATGTTGAATGGGTTTTGGGAGGTGCAGGGAAGGAGATCCCATTGGGTCTTCAGTTATAATTGCCGAGACCCCTCCCCTCCCCCCCCCACCCCCAAAAAAAAAAAAACACATATATTATTACTATTGGTGCTATCTTAAGTACTACTGTGCATTAATTTGCCCCCCAGTTTTGCCATTTCTCAATATTATCAGAAGCAAAAGCTTTACCTTTGTATTGGTGGAAGCAACTGGATAGCAAGTCCTATCAGGATAGGTGACTGCATTAAGAAAAGTGTGCAAGCTCCCTTTTAACAATTCAACAAATGGTTCCTTCAACGGATACTTACCAGAGCCACATAATACACTGTGTTCCAAGATGTGAGGGATCCCGGTGGAATCCTTTCTGCATTTACACATTACACGTAGGATATTATAAGAACTCATGCAACTATTCATTCAAATCATCACATAACAGTTTTCTAAACGCCAAACATCATTATTCAGACTACCCAATCAAAACAACTAAACATGAAATAAGTCATATTCTCGAAACATCAAATATAGAAAATAGTTAACGTAGTATGTGGAATACTAAGCTCAAGCTTTACTAAATTCTCAATTCAAAAATTAAAAAGGGAATTTGTAAAGAAACGAAGAACTTAATTTGGAGTTCGAAACACAATTCCGAAAACCTTCTCGTCATCGTTTGAAACGGACATTACCTCCGCACCAGTTTTTTATGCTTGAAAAGAACAGCTTTTGATTTACACTCTCTGATGAACTCTTCCGATATTTACTCGAATCCAAGCTTCTCCGCAAGTCCATCTTCAACTCCAGCAATATCTGGACAAGAAGAGAAAAACCAAATAAAGAAACTAGTTTCAATTCATTCAAATTAGTTTAGAAAAATAATAGAAATAAAATACTAACTGGAGAAGGCTGAGAAGGAGGAGAAGCGACGGCGCGTGGGGATAAAGAACTGAAACTCTTGCTGTTAAAACTGAAGCAAAGAGAGTGAGAAGAAGCTGCAGGGAGTGACCTCCAGTTGTTGCGGCGAAGAAGGGAACGGTTGGGAATGAGACGGCGGTGATCACGGGCGGTGTAAGAGACGAATGATGATTTGGATAGAAAAGAACGAGAGTTTTTGGGAGCGGAGAAGAGGAATTTGTTGCATGGGAGAGAGGAACAGTAGAGAGAGCGGAGAAGTGCTGTCCTCTCCATTAATTAATTTTTTATTCTTCAGAAACCCTGGCCTGCCACTAGAGTTTATATTGCGAGGGAAATTTAAAAAAAAAAAAATCAGAAGGTTGCTCAAACGCTCTGAAGAATGAACCGTTGGTTAATTATTACCCAGATATTTTTTTTAAATAAAATTAATTCTATTTTTTAAAAAATAGATATTATTATATTCCCTCCTGTTTCCTTTTCTTGGGAAAAAGTCAGCCAAGCCGTCAAGGCAAAATTTTCCGTTTCTCTTTTAAACTAAAAGTAAGAAATTAAAAAGAAAAAAGAATTGGACTTTGGGAAGGGGCCCAAACATACAAAGTCTAGGGCTCCACAGTCCACACAATTCCTTTCAACACCAGAGCCACAAATTGGGCTTGAACAGTAAGCCCCTTTGCTACTGGCCCGTGGAGCAGTATGGTTTGTTAATTGTCGGTGATAAGGCTATTTGCTGAAGATTCTTTTGCATACGGAAATCGAGACTTTCCGGCCGCCACTCACAAAAGAAAAAAAAAAAAAAAAACCCCCAAGAAATCATTCTCAAGCCTTGAAAAAAATTACTTATTACCAATTCTTCGACTCACTATTGCGAGTAAACAAAAAAGGAGTATATAATTCAGTTCACTTTAGTGTGTTTCACATTGAAATCCACCTTTTTCTTTACCAGCACTTGCCATGAGATGTTGATTAGGACTGTAAAACAGTCTATTCTCATCGCTTTTAAATCCAACCGCCAATTTTAAAAATAACATATCGTAAAAATATACCAAAAAAAGTTATATATGAATTTAATATAATTATATTTCATGCTTAATTATATTGATATAGTTAAGATATATATTATTCGTATTGTTTTGTATCAAATAATAATAATAATAATTCGTTTAAGAGATGGTACTATTTATAATTTTAAAAAATTAAATTTTATTTTAATTAATTTAAAAAATAAATTAATAATTATATTTTTTGATATTTAAATAGATTATAAATATTTAATTTTTAAATAACTTTTTATTTAAATAATAATTTAAATGATATTTTTATTTAAATAAATAAATTAATCGTATTTAATCATGTTATTCGTATATAATCATATCATATTATTTAAGTAATTAATTGTGTCTAATTATATTATTCGCATATAATCATGTTAATTGTATCATGTTATATAAGTTAAATATAAATTAATTTTAAATATGTTAATTTTATTATATCACATATAACATATATAATAAATATATCGAATTCATATTTTAATTATTAATATTATGCATATATTTATATCTTGTGTTCATTTTAAAATTATTTATATTATGTTTAAAATTATATTTGAAACGAAAGACGACGTGATCAGATGAATTGCCAAGTTTAAATCCACATTTTTCTTTACCAGCGCTTGCCATGTGATGTTAATTAGGACTGTAAAACAGTCTAATCTCCGGAAAATTAAATATTAACTTAGATTTGTGTGTAACTAAGTACAAAAATTTCAACTTTTCGCAGAATATATCACGTTGTTGATCTCTACTATTGCGACCCTTTCTGTGCTTAAGCGATTGAAGTTTGTTTAGCGGACAATCTGACATGCTAGATAAAATTTTGTTTTTCCGATCAAAGAAACAGAATTAGATAATACATGAATTTAAAAGGATGAAAATGGCAAATCCCAATCAGTAAAATCGGAGGAATCAGAGACGAAAAAAGTATTCAAAAATTTGGAAAATGCTGGTCACTACCTACCAAGTTTTTTTTGGCGTCTATGACCCATGGGGTCGACATGTGAAACGTGACTCCAACAACCGAGAGTCGTCGACTAACAGTTACTCTCTATCAGCCACTCGATGTCAGGCAAACATGGAATCAACCACCAAAAACATCACTAACAACAGTGCCATTGCGAGCATTATAGCCACAAGATATTCATCCTCCTACATCATCATCATCGTTACTAACTTAACACACAAAAAATGAGTTCAGGAGAAAGTGAAATAGCCCATGAATTCCACCCATATTTTCGAGCATATAAGGATGGTCGTGTGGAAAGGTTCTTTGGCACCGATATAATTCCTGCATCAATCGATTCTCAAGATGGTGTATCCTCCAAAGATGTCACGATTGCTCCAGAAACAGGCGTGTCAGCGCGTATTTTTATCCCGAGTTCTGTTAAATCAAACCAAAAGCTCCCCCTGATAGTCTATTTCCATGGTGGAGGCTTCTTCATGGGTTCACCGTTCTGTTCCGAATATCACAATTATGTTACTTCTCTTGCTTCCAAGGCCAATGCTGTAGTCGTTTCTATTGATTATAGATTAGCCCCAGAGCATCTTGTACCTATAGCTTATGAAGATTCATGGGCTGCACTCAAATGGGTGGCTTCTCATTCCCATGGTGAAGGTCCTGAGGCTTGGCTGAAGGATTACGCTGATTTTCAACGAGTTTATTTAGTTGGGGATAGTGCTGGAGGCAATATCGTGCATAACATGGCGGTTGAAGCAGCAACTGAGGATTTGTCTGGAGTGAAGTTGTTAGGAATTTGCTTGATTCAACCATTTTTTGGGAGGACAGATGGTCATGTGGACAAGTATTGGCTGTTTGTCTGTCCAACAAGCAGGTTCGATGATCCTAGGATACACCCTGCTGTCGATTCAAGGTTGTCCAAGCTAGGGTGTAGCAGGGTGCTAATTTTTCTTGCAGAGAAAGATAATTTGAGAGAGAGGGGACTGCTCTATTATGAAACATTGAAGAGCAGCGGGTGGAGTGGAGAGTTGGTGATTGCGGAGACTGAAGCAGAGGATCATGCTTTTCAATTGTTCAATCCAAATTCGGAGAAGGCTTTAGCCCTTATGAATAGGCTTGTTTCTTTCATTAATGATGATAAGGTAAGTAATATTTTCATTCTATAGATTTTGAAATGTTCATGTACCATTAAAAATTGGAAAAGAAAACTAAAAACAACATATGCATTAGAACACAGAACCATGTACTCAAAAATATGATAAAGGATAAATAATAGTAAGATTTCATCCGATTTCATGTTTGTTTCGATTTAATTATTGTTTTCCTGAGTATTATTTATGTCATAACGAAAAGATCAAGAAGCCATAAGACGACCACAAAGTGCTAGAACTGAATACTAACCCAAGTATACTAGTTCAAAGCCTTATCCTGATTCATGAAAGCAGCAACCTTTTTCAGCTTAGCCACAGAACTCTCGCAAGTGGGTTTGAACAGATGGAACACATGGTCCTCTCCTTGGGCCTCCATCATCTCCACTTCTCCTCCCCACTCACTCTTCTTCAACTTCTCGCAGTAGTACCAGCCCCGATGTCTCAGTATATCGTTTTCAGCAACGCAAACAAGCACCCTGGTGCAACCCAGGCTCGCAAAGCTTTGATTATCAATAGGATTCATCCATGGATCATCTGATCCACTCGTTGTAGGAGATACCAAACGCCACAGCCCTTCTATTTTTGCCCTTACAACTGGATCCTTAATCTCATCACCAACCGGTTCTTTGCCCCAAAAATATGGATGTGCTAAAATAATACCCTCAAGTTTAACACCATCCAGTTTTTCGTTGCCAATTTTAACGGCAATGTGGTGCGCTATGTTAGCACCAGCGCTATCCCCAGATAAATAAACCTTGTCAAAATCAACATAGCAATTCAACCACTCTTCAGGACCATTCCCACCGTAATGGGAAGCAACCCATTTAAGGGCAACCCATGAATCATCGTAAGCAGCAGGGATAGGGTGCTCGGGGGCTCTTCTGTAATCAACCGAGACAACAACGATGTTAGCTTCAGCAACTAAGGGGTTTAGGTAATTGTGGTACGTAGGAGAAAAGGCAGTTTCTACGCAAAAGCCTCCACCATGAAAATACACTAGAAGAGGAAGTTTCTGGGCAGAGCTAACGTTTTTTGGAATGTAAAGCCTGCTGGATTGGCCAGTTTCTTGTGAATAGACGACGTCTTTGGATTCAACGTTTGTTTTGGGGTCAAGGCCTGGAGGGACGATCTGAGTGCCTAAAAGCCTTTCAACGCGACCATCCTTGTAAACGAGAAGCAGAGGAGAGCCATCGATGGCTATATCTGACGTGGCGGACTCCATGGCAGTGAAAAAAAAAGGATGAAAGAGAGCCAAACACGCAGATGGCAGGACCTTATTTCTTAGAAGAGGAAGGGCGAGAGCAGATAGAATTACTGGAAGACAAGATTTTTTTTGTATATAATAGATTTTGGCAGATCGTTTGCCAAAAAAATCATTTAACAGTGTCCACAATCATTAGATAAGAATTATTTATTAAAAATAATTCCTTTTTTTTTTTTTTAAGATTCAGATGTCTATACCATCCATTAAAAATTATTTAATTATCATTTTAGAAAAGTTTTTTATTTAATATACTTCTTCTATTAAATTTAAAAAAATTAATGCATTAATTAAAAATTTTCCATAAATACTACCTTAGCACTAGTTAATATTTTCTTTTATTAAATTCAAAAAAAAATAATGTACCATAATTATATTTTTTTTAAAATATCACTTTAACCATCGCATTGGTAACAGTTTTCAACTTTATTTTGTTATTGTAAGTCTAATTTCATTTTTATGTAATTTTTTTAATTAAATTAGTATCATTCTGGATATCAAAGTCAATCAAATATATTATAAATAACTAGCACATAGCATGTACTCCCACTATTTAAGTGAAAAATAAAAAATTTATCTAAACAAAAAAAAAGATTATTGTCAAAAAAATAAAAAATGATAGAAAGTACCGTATATTTATTTTGAAAGAAAGAAAAAGAGACACAATAATTAGTTTTAAACTATGTAAAAAATAAATTTAAATCAAATTCTTTAACAAAATATTCTTGAATGTCCTTAAACGTAAATTTTTATTTTATTTTTTATGCTTGAATTTTTTTTTTTACCAAATTGATGTCACTTGACTTGCAATACTAAATTGGATCAAACCTTTTGTGGAATAATATATTCATACATATATATATTTACTATATAACATAAGAATTCTTATGTGGAAGGAAAAACTTAGAGAAATAAATTTAATAAGGTTCCTTAGAAGTTAGATCAAATTTGTAAAGTTTTTATTGTTAAAATTGATTAAATTGATAAAATTTAATAAAAAAGGATCAATAATTTGTAAAATAAAAAAAATTAAAGAAGCAGTCCCACACAAATTCCTATCAATGTTTATTGAACATTAAAAAGTTTATCAAAATTTTAAATAAAACTATCTATTTAAATAACATACCAAAATATTTTCATATTATTTAAAATTTTATATTATATTTAATCTTATATTAACAAGGTCTTTTAATCCATCCATTAATCTTTGAAAACTTAATTTTTGTTTCATTTTGAGGGACCGGTGAAGAACGGAAAAAATAAGATGTCAACAACACGTAGTTGATTTTTGGGAGAGTGGAAATTAAACTTCACCAACTCTGCACGAAAGTCAAGAAACACAACTAAGCCAAGCAATAAAGATTATTATTAATAGAAAACGACAGAATAACAACCCCTTCATCCTCGCTAAGAGGGTCGACTCACTGAAGTAACGTAAACCATGCAACTTTAGAGTCAAATTCACTCCATTGGTCCATAAATTAAGTAGTAAAATTATAACAATACATATGTATAGCTCAATCTTTCTTTATAAAATCAACCATTTTCTTATTCAAGATCTCGGCGTCATCATTGTCACGGAAAATATGGAAGACATGATCCTCTCCTTTCGACTCGAAAAATTCCACATTTCCTCCCCACCCACTCTTGACCAAAGTTTCATAGTAAGCCTCTCCTCTACGTCTAAGCCCATCCTTCTCTGCTACGCATACAATTACCCTTTCGCATGCCATTTCCTTCAAGTTCGGATCCACTTCCGGGTTGAACTTCGGGTCATGGTCGAAACCGGTACTGGTTGGACAAATATACTTGTACAGTTCATATTCCTTTTCCTCTTTAGCGCCGAAATACGGATGCACAATAAGCATACCAATGATTTTTAAACCAACTAATTTGGCAGCACCAGCTTGGACTGCCACATAGTGGGCAATGTTGGCTCCAGCACTTTCACCCGCCAAGAAAACCCGCCCGAAATGCGCATTCTCATTGAGCCATGGGTCGGGCCCTTGTTCATTTGCATGAGTGGCAACCCACTGTAGCCCAGCCCATGAATCATCATGTGCAATTGGTAGATGGTGCTCTGGGGCTAACCTGTAATCGATCGAAATGACAATGACATTGGCTTGTTTTACCAGCTGGGTAACCAATTTTTGGGTCACGGTGTCAAAGGCTGATCCTACGGAAAAGCCACCGCCATGGTAGTGGACAAGCAGAGGAAGCTTCTGACCAGGGCTTGTGGTTTGTGGCATGAAAATCCTGGCCTTGACGACAGGTGAAACCACAACATCTTTAGACTGGACTCCGGTCTTTGGGTCTAGTCCCGCCGGAGCAGGCTGTGTGACCATGTACCTCTCCACTCGGCCATCTTTGTAGACTTTAAAGAACGGTGGCCAATCATGGATTATCTCAGTGCTGCTTGAAGCCATTGGCAAAATTTAAGAACAATTTATAGAAAAGAAAATTGCTTGATTTCTATTCTTCAGAATGGTTTTGATTCTCTAAAGACTTTTAGAAAGGTGTGGTTAAATATAGGGCTGAGAGTCATGGTTGGAAACCCTATCGTTAGATGAAAACGTCGGCGGAATTTAGTTTGCATTCTTGGTCAACATCGTTTTACAACTTTGGAAAAGTATCTAATTAATGTGCTTTCTCATAAGCTTGATTCTTCTTTAGAATTATGAAAAGTCCAAGGCAGCGAAGATTTCAATATTAGTAAAAAATAAAAAAACTTATGAACAAATTTCTTGTGGAAGTATACAATGTGAATTGACATATTTAATGGAAACAAATCTTCCTTAGCCACATTAATTTGCTTCTACAAATTTATATTGAATTGCAAGCTTTTATCTTTGTTTAGAATTTAAAGATTAAGATAGGAAGCAACAAAAAATTTCTCTCAAGGGAAAAATGTGTGACCATATCTTGATATTTAAATTTGAGGCTGAAATTTTAAAAAGTTAAAATATTAAATTTTTTTAATTTATTAAATAAGCTTTTATCATTTTTTTACCCAATTGAATTTTTAAAAATGTTTTTTCTATTTAATTAAGTCCTTATTTTTTATGAAAATCATTATAATCTATTAGAAAATAGGAATTTAATTAAATAAAAATACTTTATGAATTTAATTAAAAATAATATTTTAATGGTTTAATTAAATAAATCGTCTACATATTTAGTCATTTATCTATCTGTTGTGATAAAAATTCATTGATTTAAATTGAAACATTATATTTATGAATAATTTTACTTACCATAAATTAATAGAGCTCATATTAATAATTTTACTTACCATAAACTTTTTTTACCACTTATTAAATAAATTTTTGTTACATCAAGATGGACAAAATTATAAAATCAAATAGCACTACTCCTTAATGAAGTAATTATATTTAAGATGAGTGAGTTAATTTGGTACCGTTAAATTGGTTGATACTTGATACGGCAGCAAAGCGAGAGGGATTGGACAAGAAAGAAGAAGACAAGGCAGCGATTGTAGAGCCAGGCCAGAACGGCTGAATTAATAATTTGTACCCATTGATGTGGCAGGCTTTAAAAGCCTTAGGATCTCAGCCTCTAACAAATTTCCATGACCAATATGCCTTAATTGTTTTTGAATACCCAAAATTGTTTAAAAAATATTAAATAGCAGCAGTTGAATTTTTTTTTTCTTATTGGCTTTCTATCACCCCTTTTTCCCTTAATTTTGAGTTTGGTCACATAAAAATACTTTTTTTTTTTTTACAAATTAATAAAATACAATGACAAAGTAATAAGCTCACGGATCTTCAAAATGGTAAAATATTATCATTGATGCAATGTACTACTTATGATTCTGGTTTTACAATTTCATACCATAATTGTCTTTGTTAATAATTGTGCGATCTGTTAGTGAAATAAACGTTGAAGGAATGAGTCAATTTGACGACTTTATAATTAAAGGTTTTAAATAATACAATCCAAAAAGTTGAAGGGTATAAAAATATTTTAAATATATTTTTTAAAATTAAAGTGTTTAAAAAAGAAATCGAACCTACAATTTAATGATTAATAATAATATATTCTAATCAACTAAATTATTTTTTTATATTTTATCTCTTAAATCTTATAAGTAACAAAAAAAATATTTAAGACATTTTTAATAAAAAAATACCTTAAATAATATAGTAAAAAAATAAAAGGTATTATTTAAGACTTTTTTTTTATCAAAAACATCTTAAATAATTTAATTTAAAAATTATTAGAGATTATTTAATACATTTTTTATAAAAAACGCTTTAAATAATCTCTTTTTAAAAAAATATTAAAGATTGTTTAATATATTTTTAGTTAAAAAGGTCTTAAATAATACCTTTCAAATTTTTAAAAGGTATTATTTAAGGTGTTTTAATTTTTTAAAAAATATTAGATATTATTTAAGGTATTTTTTTTCAAAAATTCATTAAATAATATTTTTTCAAAAAATTGAAGAGCATTATTTATGATATTTTTTTTATCAAAAATACCTTAAATAATCTCATTTAAAATAAAATTAAAGATTATTTAATGTATTTTTAGATAAAAAACATCTTAAATAATCTTCTTATATTTTTTAAATGACATTAATTTAAGACATTTTTTTTATAAAAATGTCTTAAATAATCTTAACATTTTTTATTAATAATATTTTATAAAAAAACAGCAATCAAATAAAATGTTTGTCTTTTTTTGCTGTTAAAAGCATTATTTGTCATTTAGATGTTTATTATTAATAAAAATTGATAAAAAGTCATCATCGTATATGTTAAGAATATTATTTTAATTATTTAAAAATTAATATATGTGAATTTTTTTAATCAAACGAGTAAATCTAAATACGATATGCCTTAAAAATATAAAAAAAATCTTAGATATCGCATTTTTTAAAATATTACACTTTTTTCTAGTATTTAAAATTTTTCAAACTAAACGCTCCTTATCAATTTTTTTATTCACATTCTAAAAAAATAAGATTGATTGAGTTAGTATAAATAAAATTATTTATTTGTAAAGTTTAGATTCAATTTTTACTTTCAATAATTTTTTTAATAAATAATTTATAAATTTTCATATAAATTTATGACGTACTTTGACCTTAAAATGAGATAAATTCTTTTTATTTAATATTTTTATATAAAAAATATTTTTACTTATAAATATTTTGTAAATTAAATACGAATCTTCATAAATATCTCCTAATCTATGGTTTTAAGCCAAAATGAAAATATCGAAGGCTTATACACCAATTACTAAAACTTAAAAAATTATGAAGATACCATAGTAATGTAAATACAAAGAAGCAAGAACAAAATAATTATTATATATCATTGTTTATAGTAAAAATATTGGAGAGAAACACAATAACAAGGTGTTTAATAGTGAATGAAAGGACTCCTGATTAACAACTTTGTGTAATTGTTTATGTAATCTTCTCAACAGGATAAGTTCCTTTTGTATTGTACATCTTGAAATGGAATCTCCTAATTTGCCATTACAGAACAAAAAAAAAAAAAAAAAAGGAAAAGCAAACAGATGTCCTAATGTTGCTTATTTGAAAAGCAAGCCTACGATAATGCTGATGGCTATGGTTGCTGCTGTGGAATATCAATCATGAATCCTCTTTCCCTTCAAAGTGGATTATAAAGTTGTTTTTACAAGCAAATTTTTGTTAGTATTATTTTTTAAAATAAAATATGCACATGCTATTTTTGAAAATATAGATTTTAGTAAATGAATTTAAATTTGGTTTTTATATATATATAAATGATGAATGAAATGCTACCACTGTACACAAACTAGCCAACAAATTTATGAATTTAAAAATATTCATTAATGTTCTATTTTTTTTACAAAAAAAAAAAATTAAACTTAAAACATTATAAAACCACATTATTAACACTTTAAAAATCTTTTTATGTGATTTATCACATAATTTTATATTCTTCATGAATTAATTTAAAAAAAATAACATAAATAAAAAAAGTGTTAATATTGTGTAAGTAAATTAATATGATACAACTAACTTCAATAAATTGCAAGATAATAATTATTTTTACCATATATTATGGCATTGAAGTTAATTAATATGATTATTATAGCCATTTATTGTTTTTTTGGAACAACTCACGTTTTGAATAAATCATTCTCAAAGAGAAAACAATGGAAAAAAAAAAAAAAGAGAGAGAGAGAAAGAGGGGAAGGGAAAGTTGTGGGGACCCTTTGATAAAAAAGTAAAAAGGATTAGATTAAAGCAACATTATTAAAAACAATTATTTTCATAAAGTAAGATTATTAAAAAGGAGGTAAGCAAAAGCATACGTCCGTTAACATATTTAAAAAGAATTAAATAATAAAATCAAAAGTCATAATCCCCACAATAACATGAACATCCCGAATAACCAAGGAATTTGTCCATGAAACGACATCGTCTAATGGTATTCCACACTTGATACCGTACAATCACGCCACCGCGTAATTCTTTGGAGTTTAGTAAACATATGAAGAAGCAAACGCGAGAGTTTTGAGCGACTGAGCGTTGCTTCATCGATGGTCTTTAGGAACAAACAGCCTTATCATTGAGTTCCTCACGAGATTTAACCTCTTTCTTTTTTCTCTCTCTATTGATTTTCTTTCATTTTAAAAAAATTGGAATTTAATTTGAAAGAAATGAGAGATAAAACTAAAAAAGCTTCTTTTTTTTCTCTGTGAGTGAAAAAAAAAAAAGAGAAACCCATAGACAAAGGAGTTGCCAATGCCTTTTGATTGCCTTACTTTTTAAGCTTTCAAAGCCATGGCCGACGATCTCTGTTTCTTCACGAAGGTCAGTTTTTTTTTTCTTTGGGTATGTTTAGTAGGTTTCATTAACGTTATCTAGAGTGAGATTGAAGATTCTGTCATTAAATTTTTAATATTTACGAGTGTCATGCGAATGTACTGATCTGGTTTTCCGTAAAAAAAAAAAAAAAAAGATCTTCGTTTTATAGACCCATGTTTTTAGGGGGTCTGTTTTCTTTAGTCACTTCATTGAGATAGAAGCAACACCCAGATTTCATTTTCATGAACGATGTGTTTGTGCATGTCGGTTTATTTTTATCCGTTAAACGTGATTAATCAATTAATTAATGCTAAATGCATATTAAATTAGAGAGTAATGTCTTATTCAACACACACCTGAGTTTTTCTAGCTAAATCAGATCAGAGTTCAGTGCTATAGAAATGCCCATATCATATCTTTCACAGAGCTTCATTTCATGAATTATCAAAAACGAAGTGATCTTTTTTTTTTTTTTGGTTTAATTTGTTTTTATTATCTGGGCAATTAATTAAATTTCAGGATTCTTTTGTCCTAAAGTTGCCAAAGAAGTCTCCATTGGTGTTGAGGATGGTTGTGTTGTTGTTTGTAATGGTTTGTGGTGTGTATATATGCTCAATTTGTTTGAGGCAAATAAGCACCAGCAGCACCACTGAGTTTTTGAATATTGGAGTTGTCCAAAGGCCATGTCCGGAACCTAATATCGAGCCATGGGAAATTCCTTACGTACACTATCCGAACCCCAAAACTTATAGCAGGTAAGAAAATGATTTTATTGTTCATGAGTTTGGTTTTAGATTTAAGATATAATATGTGATTTCTTGTGCATGGTTAGGGCTGAATGTGCGTGCAATCCTGTCCGGTATTTTGCCATTATGTCAATGCAGAGATCTGGGAGTGGATGGTTTGAGACGTTATTGAACAATCATACTAACATAAGCTCAAATGGGGAGATATTCTCCGTGAAAGTTAGGAGGAGTAATGTGTCAACAATTTTTGAGACTTTGGACAAAATTTATAACTTAGACTGGTTGAGTAGTGCCTCAAAAAATGAATGCACGGCTGCAGTTGGCTTGAAGTGGATGCTTAATCAGGTGAGCATCTCGTGGATGAAGTGTAATTTCTAAAGTTTAACCACTATTTGCTAATATTGTTATAGCAGAAATCTTCGGTCTTATTGGAAATCTCTTATGCTATTCCCCTCTTGAGTCTGTAACCTGGGATTGATTACTAAATGGTTCACTCTATCTGCTATGCAAAGCTGTAGTTATACCAGTTAGATTCATATTAGGAATGGCTAATTTAGTGAGCTGAAGTGAACTCTACAACCTTGTGATCAACGATAAAGCAGAAGAAACCCAAAATGTCCTTTATATTTATGAATACACTTGTGCTTTTAGTATTTTTAATGGTCTTTCAGTGAATGCAACTTTTAAGTTCCTTGGTTCCTGTAGCATAGTCTCATGATCTCTTTGTGTGTTTCATTTCCTTTTTCTTTTTCTAAACTACCCACTATTTATGTTTCTAGATCCAGTTTTATGTAATTCTCTTAGCAACCAGATTCTTTTTCCCTGTAATTAGAAACCAATCCCCTATTGCTCAAACAGAATTATATGACTATCCTAGCATGCTTACCCCACAAAAAAACCCTACATCCTGTTCATTTTGTTATTATTCCAAAATACCACCAATCTTATATTCTTAACCCAGCCAATGATTTCTGTATAACTGCCACTAATTCGAGCCTTATTTGCATCTAGGCACCTCTTTAACTTGGACAGCAGGTTCTGGGTCTTCTTCTTTTTGCATGCATGTTTGCATAAAGTTCGGTATGATTAGTAGATATCCTAGTGCTCCACGATTCCGAGAATAATCTTAAGTTCGTCACTAAAGAGAGGAAAGCTGTTGCATAAGTTCTTGGGAGTTTTCTTTTTCTTCACATGTTTCTTCTAGTTCATGAGTTAAGGTAAAGTTGGGCAAACATGACGTCTATTTGATTACCTTGAGGATCATGTCAAGCTTTCTAGACGTTCTCTTTCCCAGCATGATAATAGAAAAGGGGGGCATTGAAAGTTAGACCAGATGTGACCTTTGTTTCATGAAATGGTTGGGTGTACATTTACGGACAAGGGAATTCAAAACCATGTCTCTTTATAGGCAGGAGAGATTGGAAGTCAATAAATAATATTTACTGTTGATAAAAATTTAATTGTTAGATGTATATATATTAAGGTTCAATTCGTTTTATAATGAGAAGCACAATTTTTGGTAAATATTTACCATTACATTGATGGAATAGATATCAATTTTACGTAACTTTGAATGAATGTAATAGGAGACTTAACCAAAATTATGCAAAGGAAACAGGAAGTTTCTGGTAACAAATAAAAACAGGGGAAAGAAGAGATGGCAGTTTATGCAATTGTGAGGGATTAAGGTAGTTGAAATCTGTGTTTGGAAGTGGAGAAATGTATATCAAATCTTCTCCTTATTTGTTGAAGACTCAAGAGAACATTTGTTTGATGTTCTTAATGAGGTTATATTTCTTTAGATCATGCCTATAGATATGCCTTTGAGATGAACTTCTTCTTCATGATTTGAGAACAATGGCTGTGACAAAATATTCATTAATGAACACAGCTTTCTTTCTATTCGAAAATTTTATAAAGATGGTATTTTGTCAACAAACATTGCTCTAAGTGTGGAATTTTTAATATGAATTTGATTATGCTTGTCTCACTATGATTGTTTCATTATGCTTGTCTTTGTTGTATTCATGATCATAATCCTTTACTGCAGGGATTGATGCAGCATCATAAAGAAATAGTGGAATACTTTAATACACGGGGTGTTTCAGCTATTTTTCTCTTTAGAAGGAATCTTTTGCGCAGGATGATTTCAATACTAGCAAATTCCTATGATCGGAATGCTAAACTACTAAATGGAACCCACAAGTCTCATGTTCATTCACCCCACGAGGTTACTATCTCCTTCCTCTCTCTCTCTCTCACACACACACATGCACACATACATATCTAAAAGTTTTAACTCTTATGTAATGATTTCAGGCTGAGATACTTGCTAGTTATAAGCCTGTAATCAATGCAATGTTGCTTATTCCAAATCTAAGGCAGGTCGAAGAGACAACTAAGAAAGCTTTAGAGTACTTCAAAAGCACCCGGCACATCATTCTTTACTATGAGGATGTAGTAAAGAACCACACTGTAAGAAAGAAAAATGTTTGAAAAAGCTGATTTTTACTCTGCTTATGAATCTTTTATATAAGCATGGGTTCTTAAGAGAGTAATTTCTGTTTGTGTGCAGAAATTAGTCGAGGTTCAAGAGTTCCTAAAGGTTCCAAGAAGGGAGTTGAGGAGTCGTCAAGTAAAGATACACAAGGGATCATTATTCAATCACATTCAGAATTGGGTTGATGTGAAAAGGGCACTCAATGGAACACAGTATGAAAGTTACCTATATGGAGATTACAGGAAGTAAAGCAGTGGCATGACGTACATTCTACTTTTGACCATTTTTCTTCCTTTTGTTCCTATGTCCAAATGGCAGTAACCAACTGGGAATCTACCAAGCGGCACTCTGTTGGAATTTTGGCTACAACATGCTCATTTTGCTTTCAACTTCCCGGAAACATTATTATTTTTTTTTTTAGTTTTTAACCTCACACCTACATATTCTATTCATTCTTTTGCTGTTTTGCCCCCATGTTATTCTATTGATTCCCCTTAACATAGAAACTCTGCTGTATTTATGCCCAACCAAAGGAGAAAATTGCCTTTCTGCAATGTATACGTTTGTGTCCATTATTTCTATAGAGTAGTCCTAATATCAGTGATTACTTCTCCCATTTTTCTTTTCCATTTCCTGCAGTTGCAGTTGCAGATCATATTACGATGAATGTCTAAGAAACTATATCTATTATTCCTGTCATCTTCTTTTTATATAAGGTTTTTTTTTAGGATCACTATATATGGTAGACAATATCATTAAGACAGATGAGATCCATGTGAAAAGGCAGAAAAAATTAAGTTTGAGAAATTTGATGTTTAATGCAGTTGTTGTTATTGGCAAATTGGGCAAGTGGAGTGGCAGGTGGTGTTTTCAGCCAACTAAAATGCATTTGGTCCTACCTTTTGCTTCAATGATTGTTGCTTTGTCCTTGTCATCTATTCTGGCCATCTCGGTAATACTATATACAAAAATATGGAATTAAGAGATAAACACTTTATTAACGGATGTGCCTGGCGTTGAACCGAGCAAAGAAAAAGTTTGTCAAAGTTCAAACACGTAACGCGCTTCTCACATTCAAAGTTCCAGTTCCAGGGTTCCCCACTTCCAGCCTCGAGAGCCCTGGCGAACCTGGCCAGGGCCCTCCGCATAAGCATTGACCGACAGCAACCTCTATTGAGCCCACCACGCCCCTTCCGTTTGACCCACCAAGTCGTCAATTTTTATGCCCCAATGTGAACAAAGACGCTGCTTTGTCTTACTCATTTCCTCTTCTGCCTAACTTGGACCATAGATTGTTAAATCATACTCACATCAGCGGTGGATAATAAATGATGATAGAATCCACTCGGTTTGGCTTACTAATGGGGTTTAAAGCTTAAACTTTCAACACTATAAAAGATCAACTTGGGGTTAATAAACTTGGGGTTGTTGGTTTGAGTCAAAGACTCACAAATTGAACATCCAAATCAATGGTTCCTGAAATTTTCAGGATTTTTTTTTCTTTTTGGTTTTCAAATAAACCTTTAAATGGAATATACCTTTCCATGAATACTTGAAATTCAGGTTCTTTAAGAAAAGGAAAAATAATTACTACATCAAGAATTCAAGATAATGAAAAAGAGTAAGCAGATTTGATATTCACCATTGTCAATGCCGATCCTCAAAATTTACTTCTTTTAAAGAAGGAACCTGCCCTTTAGATAAAAGGTCATAGTCAAAGCTTACATTTTTTTATAATTAGAATTACCAAAAATTAAATATATATTAAAATTAAAATTTTAATATTCTATCGAAAACCATTCCACCATTGAATTATCAAAGCCTTATTATTAAAATTGCATAGAAACAAAAAATCTTACTTCCTAAAAGGTTAAAAATATGGCAACATATTTTCCAAATCCAAGAGGTGGAAACCTACCCAAATTCTATTACTACAACCAACTAAATTAATCATCATTATTATTTATAATTAGAATCATATACTAATACTTGTTGTAGTAATAGACTACTAGTATTAAGCAAAAGCAAACATATGTCTGATTGGACCACCGGTTGGATCTACACCGTCCTGGTCAGCATGATATCCCCTCACGACCATCAGTGGGTCCCTGTCTAAAACTCACGGGACGGCGACTAAACACGGAAACAAAACAATCACTAACGTTGTAATCGAGGCTTCACTCGCCATTTTTAACCCATAACTTACATCCATCGCCTCCCTTAATAACCTTAAAATTTCCTTAAACCATAGTTTTCTCTCTCGTTTGCCTATTAACGGGGAGAGAGAAAGAAAGAAAGGAATAACGCTCAGAGCATCAGATCAGGTTGTTAACTATATATCAAGATGCAGTCAGCCAACGGCCCTGATCTGAACTCAAAACAACAACAACAGCCGCCACAGCAACAAAGCAGCCAGCAGCTGGAGCAGCAACAACCACAGCCACAGTGGGTCCCAAACCAGTGGATGGGAGCCATGCAATACCCGGCGGCTGCTATGGTAATGATGCAGCAGCAGATGATGATATACCCTCATCATTATATGCCTTACAATAATCATCATTTCCAATATCAACAATATCAACAGCAGCAGCATCAACAAAAACACCAACAGCAGCAAAGCTACTTACAGAAACAGCAACAAGGATCTAATTCGGATGAGGTTAAAACGATATGGATTGGTGACCTTGTTCATTGGATGGATGAAACTTATCTTCACAGTTGCTTCTCTTATACTGGAGAGGTATAAACAATAGTGTTAATATCATGAAATGATAGATGTCTGTCTTGTTATGAATCTTACGTTAGATCTTTTTGGTGGTTTAACGAATCTTTTGGTTTTAGTACTTTGTTTTCAATTTTTCGTTTGTGGGTTTTATATGTTTTATGGGGTTTAAGGATAAGTTAAGGTTTGAGGTCTATGCTTGATTATTATTGAAGAGAATTTATGAAATGGGTTGCAGTTAAAAGTGTGTTTCTTCCTACAATTAACTTGGTCTTATCAGTGTTGGGATAGAGGAAAATGCGCCATAATTAATCATTAAACTGTATATGTTGAAGATAATTTGCATTTGTGTCCTAAACTTTTTATCCAGAACATTAAAGTTGGTTAATTTAAAGACAAAGATTGTTTTTAATTTAAGCTGAACAGATCAACAGATTATTGTTAATTGCCATAATTAAATGAAACTAAATAAATACGAAAAGTCCATTTATGCTTTTGTGTAGACTGTCTAGATGATTAGGTTTTGGTTAAAGTTAGTTCACATCTCATTTCACAAACATGAACTGGAAGTGATTTAATTATAAAAAAAAATAAAATCCACAGCTCATATCCTAAGCTGTGCTGCTGAGCCAGTAGCAGCGTCTCAGGTTGTTCTAAAACTAGATGTGTAATAAGTTTTTATGTTGGGTGTTAATTAGGGGGATTGGCTAGATTGCAAAATCAATTTTGCTTAAAATGCAACATGGACTCCTCTAAGCCTTTGAGAGTTTAGACTTTTTTGTTCAATTTAAGATTTTTAATGTAGATAACTCATTGATGAACACATGAAATAGAATCCTTTTGATTTGGATTCAATGTTACTGAGATGTTCATGTGGTAAAGTTGTGGACACCATTTTGAAGAAAGTGCTCTGCTCATGTTGGCATTTATTTCTGAGAAAGTTCTCATGTACTCATGATCTTGTTGAAAGCTTTCTAAACTTTTATTTGCTTGTGTTACTTGAAAAAATTATTAACAGAAAAGAAGCAGGGAGAAGGGGCTAAAAAGACTTTGTATCTTTTACTATTTTTTGGAACCTTGAAATCTTGCCAAGGATTTTATTAGTTTTAGTTTCTTGGAAGATTAGCTACTCATATTGCATCATACTCTTGATGTGTAATACCAATACCTTTTTGAACATTTTACTTGATTACCCAGATGGCAGATTCTCGTAGTAAATATGTTCTTGCTTGTCATCATCATTATACCCTTGCTTACTGACATTTGGTATTTCAAAGTCCAGGTTTCTTCTGTAAAGATTATACGCAATAAGCAAACTGGTCAGTCTGAAGGATATGGATTTGTGGAATTTTACTCACGGGCAACAGCTGAAAAGGTTTTGCAACGCTATAATGGCTTTCTAATGCCAAATACAGAGCAGCCTTTTCGTCTGAATTGGGCTTCATTCAGTGTGAATGAAAGGCGATCCGATACTGGTTCTGACCTATCTATATTTGTAGGAGATTTGGCCGCAGATGTAACTGATACAATATTGCATGAAACCTTTTCTAGTAGATTTCAATCTGTCAAAGGAGCAAAAGTTGTTTTTGATTCAAATACTGGTCGTTCAAAAGGTTACGGTTTTGTTAGGTTTGGTGATGAAAATGAAAGGTCAAGGGCCATGACTGAAATGAATGGTGTGCATTGCACAAGTAGACCTATGATAATTAGGGTTGCTACTCCCAGGAAAGCATCTGGATATCAGCAACACTATTCTTCACAAGGTACCTTAATATTTTATCCTTACCAAATTAGTCCAGCTGCTTTCCTTTAAATAGAATTGTGAGGGATAAAAATGTAGGGCCCCTTTCTGGGTCCTTTATGATTTCCACCATAAGGTTGATGGTGAGGTGATGGATACTTGGGTGGCCTTGCATGGAACTCTCTTCAATCTGAGTGGAGCATCCTTATCTATTTATTCATCTGTTGACACTGGCATTTAAGTGGAGTCATATTGTGATTTTTTATCCTTTTTATTTCTTTCTAAGATTAAAGTCTTAATCACTTGCTAGTTTTAATATGGTGAACTATGCTATTTCCTATGGTTCATCATCTGGGCTTTTTTTTTTTTGTTCGTTGCTGGAGCATTGAGGTCTCAGAAATTTCCTTATTCCTTGGAGAATCCTGTTTTTGTCATAATGTTCTCTTGTCACTTGAATAAATTACTGCTGAGCTAGTCATTTCTTAAAAAATAAAATTGTCTTTTGAATGTATTATATCTTGTATCTTAAAGCTTGGCGTGAATTTTAATTGAATTATCATATTTATATTCTCCTTTCTGTTAGCTTTGGTATTGGCTGGTGGACATGCATCAAATGGTATTGTAGCCCAAGGTTCACAATCTGATAATGACTCAAATAATGCTACTGTGAGTACTGAGTCCTTCTCCTTCTTTTGTGCGTTTTTCACCCTTGTGTTTGCCATTGATCACTAAGTTACGTTTCTTACAGATATTTGTTGGAGGACTTGACTCAGATGTTAGTGATGATGATCTCAGACAACCTTTTTCACAGTTTGGTGAGATCATCTCTGTGAAAATACCACCTGGAAAAGGATGTGGGTTTGTGCTATTTGCAAACAGGTACCCCCCTATATGTACTTCACCACTTTGTACTCAACTCTACCTTATATTGAAGTTTGGTTACTATTAGTAAGGATTCTTATTTACAGCTCCATCAGTGATAATACCTTCACAATATTGATGGACATTTTTAAATTAAGTGATGCAGAGTGATAGGTTTCTGGCAGTTGGTATTTTGTGGTTATATTATTATTTAATCATGATGCCTGTAGTAATGTAATGTGTTCTCTTCTTAGGAAGAATGCTGAGGAAGCAATCCAGAGTTTGAACGGGACAACCATAGGCAAGCAGACTGTCCGTCTTTCTTGGGGTCGCAGTATAGGAAACAAACAGGTAAATTCATGCTAAAGCGGATATTCTTAGTTAGGAGTCTTATGGCCTAATGCTGCTTTGCTCTTTGCTAAATGTGTGGAAAAACTAAAAAATAAATCAATGTGAAGACCGAATGTATATTGAAAAACTGCTCATTTATAATTATACAAGAACCTTAGGTTTATATACAACTAACTAGGAGTTAAACTAGGAAATTAAATCTTCCTAAAAAACTAATCCTATAATCGAAGGATTGTCTATCCTAATTTTTTGTCCTTAATTCTAGGGATACAAATACTTAATTCTAGAGATACAAATATAAATATACAGATTACAAGATTACAACCAGCTGTAAATAAGTGTTTTCCCACACTCCCCCTCAAGCTGGTGAATAAGTGTTTTCCATTCCCAGCTTGGAAATAATTTCTTGAAATGTTGCACTGTTGAGACCTTTAGTCAACACATCTGTAAGTTGACCCTTGGTTGATACATAAGGTGTACAAATCAACCCACTATCTAGTTTCTCCTTTATGAAATGTCGGTCTTCAATGTGTTTTGTTCTGTCATGTTGCACAGGATTGTGTGCAATGCTTATTGCAGACTTGTTATCACAGTAGAGTCTTATTGGTCCATCCCACTTGATTTTCAAATCTTTTAGGATAATCTTTAACCATAGTAGTTCCCAAATTCCTTGAGCCATTGCTCTGAACTCTGCTTCAGCACTTGATCTTGCCACTATATTCTGTTTTTCACTCCTCCAAGTCACAAGATTACCACCTAAGAAAGTGCAGTAGCCTGAGGTGGATCTTCTATCAGTTACTGAACTTGCATAATCAGCATCTGTATAGGCTTCTAGAACTAGCTTCGAATTTCTTTTGAATAAGATACTTCTCTCAGGATTGGCCTTCAAATAGTGCAATATACGGTAGACAGCCTGTAAGTGCACTTCTTTAGGACTATGCATAAATTGACTTACCGCACTCACAGCATATGCTATATTAGGTCTAGTATGTAAGAGATAAATGAGTCTTCCAACTAATCTTTGGTACATCTCTCTATTTACAGTAGTATCTTCATTAGCTTCTCCAATTTTATGATTAGAATCTATAGGGGTATTTGCAGATTTACATGCGCACTTTCCAGTTTCCTTCAGAAGATCCATCACATATTTTTGTTGTGAGATGAAGATATCATGCCGTAAGTGAGCTACTTCAATTCCTAGGAAGTACTTCAATCTCCCTAGCTTTTTTATCTCAAATTCTCTAGTCATACACTGTTTTAGAGATTCTCTTTTTTTCATCATCTTCAGTTACAATTATATCATTAACATACACTAATAGAACTATGACTCTCTCTGAATTAGAGTGCTTGATAAATAATGTGTGATCTCTTTGACTCTGTTTATATCTCATTGCTAGCATCACTTTGGCAAATCTCCCGAACCAAGCCCTATGAGACTGTTTAAGGCCATATAAAACCTTTTTCAACCTGCATACTTTGTTTACTTCTAGATGACCTCCAAATCTCAATGGAACCTTTATATATATTTCTTCTTCCAAATCGTCAAGTAGAAAAGCATTCTTTACATCAAATTGTTAAAGCTGCCAATTGTAATTTGCAGCTAATGATAACAAAATCCTAACTGTATTCATCTTGGCAACTGGAGCAAAAGTTTCCTGATAATCCACTCCATAGGTTTGAGTGTAGCCCTTAGCCACTAACTTGGCTTTATGCCTTTCAACAGTACCATTTGTCTTGTATTTTATAATGAAAATCCATTTACACCCAATTGAATTTTTTTCTTTAGGTAACTCTACCAGTTCCCATGTCTGATTTTTCTCTAAAGCTTTAATTTTTATTTTCATGGCTTACCTCCATTTCTCAATGGATAATGCCTCGGATAATGTAGTTGAAACAGAAATAGTATTTAGATTCACAAGAAAATTTTTGTAGGATGGTGAGAATTTTTCAAATGACACAAAATTAGAGATTGGATATAGTGGATGCTTGGTTCCTTTCCTAATGGCAATAGGCAGATCATAATCACTAGTTATAGTTTTAGGAATTCATGCTCATTTTGAGAAACAGAGTTAAAAACTGTAGTTACCTTATTTCCAGAATTAGGATCAGGCTCTTGGACTGACACTGATTCAGGATCTGGAACTTTTCTTCTTGAGTACACCTGTAATTTTTTCATAGAATCAAGAACAATATTATCCTTTGTCACATCTTCTGTATTTGGAATGGGTTCAGACTCAAATTTAGTGTTAGACTTGGGCTCAGTAGAAATAAGTTTCAACTCAAAAGAATTAATGGATGTAAATGTTGAAGAAGGGGATAAATCAAGCAAAAAGAAGTCTTTATCCTTATCCTCGATGAATGAAGTCTCCCCCTGAAGATAAGGTTGAGTAAAAAATAGTTTACTTTTTTCAAAAGTGACATCTGCAAACACAGAATTTTTTGGTAGGAGGATGATAGCACTTATATCCTTTTTGAGTTGAGGAATACTCCACAAAAATACACTTAATTGCTCTTGGATCCAATTTTTTCTGTTATGACTGTGAACATGAACAAATGATGTACAACCAAATATCCTAGGTGTAAGATTGTTTGTGGTATTAAGGTTAGGATAAAATTGTGAAAGTAGTTTCATATGAGTTTTAAATCTTAAAACCCTTGAAGGTAACTTATTTATAATGTGTGTGGCAGTGAGAACAGCTTCCTCCCAATAAGATTTAGGTACATTTGCTTGAAAAAGAAAGGCTCGGGTTGTGGCTAGTAAATGACTGTTTTTCCTCTCTATCACTCCATTCTGCTGTAGAGTATTAGTATAAGATGACTCATGGATAATCTCCTTGTTTTGAAAATAGGTGGATAGACTTTAGTTGAAGTAGTGTCTTGCATTATCAGACCTAAAAATCTTGATTCTCACTCTAAATTGATTTTGGATCATGTTTTGAAAGCTTAAAAATATACTATTCACATCTAATTTGGATTTAAGTAAAAAAATCAAAGAGACCTTGGTACAATCATCTATGAATGAAATAAAATATCTTGCACCAGAAATATTAAGAATTGTAGAAGGACCCCAAATTGTCACTATGAATCAAGTAAAAGGGAATAGAACTTCTTTTGTTACTAATTGAAAAAGACACGTTTATGCTTTGCAAGTTCGCAAACATTACAATGAAAATCTTCGACATTTAATCTTTAGAACAAAGAAGGAAACATGTTTCTCAAGGTTTCAAAAAAAGGATGTCCAAGACAAAAATGATAAAGCCAGATTTTGTCTTTATTAGAAGATTTTTCAGAAAAAAATGACAAAGGTAAACTATTCTTGATATTACTTGTGTTATTTGATGTCTCAAGATAGTATAGTCCATTCTTCTCCTTAACAAGTCCAATCATCTTCCCCGAACTCTGGTTCTGAAATTCACAATAAGCGGGATATAAAGTCACTTTGCAGTTCATATCTTTGATAAGTTTTTGTATAGATATCAGATTAGTAGACAATCCAAGAACATGAAAAACATTTTTGAGAACAAACTAGGGATTAACTTGAACATTTTCTAATCCTGTCACTGTAGTAAGTGAACCATCTGCAACAATAATTTTCTTATTATTAAGATACAAGGTATATATACTAAACTTCTGTGAGGAATGTGTCATATGATCTGTGACTCCAAAGTCAATAACTCAAAAACTCGTAATAGGTTTAATCGAGATATTTAATCCATGAGAACCAGAGGCTTTACCTGAACTAGAGACCTTACCCAAGAAACATATTAAAGTAGGCTTTTCAAGGATTTTCAATAAGTTTCTCAGCTTTTCAATCTCTTCTCTGTCGAACTCTCATTGTTTTCGAGACATCTGTAGTGCTCCAGTGATTTTTTCAGTTGACATTTCCTCAAATTGAGTGGTAATGATATCTTTCTTTGAAAGGGTTCGACATTGAAGGCCTAAAATAGAAGTCAGCAGTGAAGGCTAAAAATTTTGCTTCCCAAGAAGAGCCTAAAGCTCTGATACCATGTGAAAAAACTAAGAAATAAATCAGTGTGAAAACTGAATGTATATTGAAAAATTGCTCATTTATAATTATACAAGAACTTTAGGTTTATATACAACTAACTAGGGGTTAAACTAGGAAACTAAATCTTCCTAAAAAACTAATCTTATAATTGAGAGATTGTCTATCCTAATTTTTTGTCCTTAATTTTAGGGATACAAATACTTAATTTTAGAGATACAAATATAAATATACAGATTATAAGATTACAACCAGCTGTAAATAAGTGTTTTCTCACAAAATGCTTGGAGCGTTTGCAATTCCTAGGTCTAAGCCCGGGCATCTGAGGCACATAGGAAACAAAAGGAATAGAAGAATGTTCTTTGTTTTTTTGACGAGATTACTTGTACAAGGAATTTACAATCATATTCGAGTATTACATATAAGAAATCAATGAATTGCATCAATTAGACAAACCAACCAATGAACAAATTAGCATATAACTGAATAAATCCAACATAAAGTTGGACCAAACCTACATATGGTTGGACTTTAACCTGGGACCTTAAGATTCCAGGACCTCCTTTTTGCAACTGAGCTAAGGCCTCTTTGGCCCGAAGAAAGTTACTCTATATTTTGCACATCCTTTGGAATGAAAAGAAAAAAAAAATGAAGATCAAGCTGATTCCTAATTAATTTGCGCTTGGTTGCATAATTTTATAGCATATTTATACTACAGTCTTTTGAAGTTGGAAATGCACACCCTCTTTTATTCCCCCTCCCTTCTGCTATTGTTTTTCTTTGCTTTGTTTCCCTAAATAACTCAGCTCAGTTTCTTATCTAAGTTATTTATTTATACATTATAGTTTACTTCTTAAAACTGGTTTTGACAGTGGAGAGCTGATTCTGGTAACCAGTGGAATGGAGGATATTATCGAGGGCAGGGCTATGGTGGTTATGGCTACAGCTATGCTACACCACCAAATTAGGATCCAAGCATGTATGCTGCGGCTGCTGTCCCCGGTGTTTCTTGAGAGGGGTGGTATGACAATTACCAATGGCTTGTAATCTGATCTGGAGGGAAAAGTTAAGTTTATTCATCAGATTCATTATTTAAGTAGGATGGGTTTTGCTCGCGGCTTTAGCTGGATCTTCAGGTTACAGAATTTTGTAGCTGAATTTCACTTTTAAATCTCAGAGTTGTTTTAGAACTGAATTAATGTCATTTACAATTTTAATTTTGCGCTTGAGAGGTGTTTTTTGATGTGTCGGGAAGCTTATCTTTTTTCTTTTAATTGTTTAGAGTTGAATTTACTGACAATGAAAATGGATCATGGGCTTATAATCACCGATTTCTACATGTTGGAGTTTGTATTGTTACGGTGTTTGCAAGTTACAGTCTTTTACGGTATGTTTGGATTCAAGACAAGCGAAGAAAAGGAAACGAAAATTAAGGAAAGTAATGGAAAAAAAAAATTGTTTTGATAAATTTTTAATTTAAAAAAAAAGAAACATTTGAAAACTCAATAACCTTTTGTAAAGTTAAAAAAAAATTATTTTTATAAAAAGATTATTATATTTATCTTTTTATTAATATTAAAGTCTAGCAAAAAAAACCTAACCCTTCTTGTAAGTTTTTTAATTTTTTTTTAAGTAATTTCACATGTCTCTTTTAATATAAATTTTTTTTTATAATTTTTAGTTATTTAATTTTGATAAATTATTGAATATTAATAGATATATTTTTTAAGTTTATGAGATATTGAATTAGCTCAAAATTTTTTTATTTTTATATGTAGTATATTATAATTTGAGATGTCGATAATTTCAAAATATTAAAAAAAAAAGTGAAAAAATGAAGATGCTTCATTGAGACACAATTAACTTGGTTATGATTATAAATATATCAGTACACTTTTTACATAAACTTAATTAGTAAATATTAGTATTATAATAATTAATATATGTGAGTAATTGATAAATATTAGTATTATTATTTGTAGTATGTATGATTTATTGTTAAATGTCTTGTATCTCAAAATTTTTTAATTCAATTTTATTTTAATATTATTTTCTTTCATACAAGTATTAGTGTATTTATTTTTATGATAATAATAATTATTGTTAATATTTTATTGTATAAATAGATAAACAAAGAAATGAGATAATGATTGAATATTTTTGGAGAGAAATGTTTTAAAATTACAAACAATGAAAGTTATAAATAAAAAATATTATTATACTAAAATTTTTTTTTTACTTTTTATTCAAATAGTGATTATTAAAATTTTTTTATTAATTTTAATCATTTAAATAAGGATTACATGTATTTAAAAAAAAATTTTTATTAATATTTATCTAAACTTTACGTTACTTTTATTGCTTCATTGAAGGGTCTGGGACCTGGTGTCTCTGCGGAGCCGCAGCTGTCATTTGTTCGAGTCACCAATTGTTTTCTTCAATATGCTCCACGACCATGTTATAGGTTGTCTGTGTATCGTGCACAACCTTTGTACTTTGCTTATGCTTGATAAAAAGGATGAAAAGAGATAAAGAACACCTTTTTACTTGCTTGATAAAAAAGATGAGAAGAGACTAGAATAAAAAATTCGTAGCCATCCGTTTCAATTAAAATTCGATAGGCTGCATATTCATTATTCAAACGCGGGCATCATGATTTGATGCCATCACAAGCACTAGGAAAAAAAAAACAGTTACCACTGAAACTGCGATTTGATCATGTTTTGCCACCTATACAATAAATAACGTTCAATACAATAAAGAAGCATGCACCAGCAGTCACAGGAAAATGAAGTCTAACCCTTTGTCTAGCCTTTTTTGTGCTTTGTGCCCATCTGGATATGCTTTTGGGGGGGGGGACAAGATTTAATCCCCTTGATAAACTTATGAAGGCTCAACCAAATAGGGGTGTACGTTTCTTCTGTGTCGAAGAACACATAATTTTCAAACTCGTGTCGGACGTCAAGATTGCTTGAAGGATGCCGACAAATTAATGTTTTGCCAGGGCAACATGATGGATTTAATTTCAATCGGTTCTCGGGGTATGTGACTGTTGAGCCGGGAGAGCACACTTCTATTATTTTGTTGAGACTAACAAGAATTCTGACACTAAACCTCTTATATTGTGGCTAAAGGGAGGTAAAGAAAATGCTTTATAAATGACTGTATTTACTTTGGTTAGAATGGCCTGGAAGACTTGTTCTGACTCTGGTAAAATCGTCCAAATCAATGCTTTTGGTAATGTTCAGGACCTGTTTGTTCTTCATTTGGCAATGGAGCAATGTTTGAACTCATTTTCCTCAGTTTTGTTATGAAAATCTGACTGTAAGAGATGCAGGGCATTATGTTCCAAGCAATGAACCAGCTCTGTTCTTGAATTAATTTCAAACCTTATTACCACTTATTCAGAAAAAAATAAATTAACTAGTAATAAATATACAGTTAAGTGAACATTCTACGTGAAAAGGAAACTAGAAGTGTTGAAGTATGGTGTTGAATATAACAGAGGGAGTAGAGATATTTTTGCTAGTTTTACCAATTAATATCTTGTTAGACAAGGCTCAGATACTTGAAACTACTACAACTGTTGTTCTTTAAAATATATAAATATTTAAATAGTTGATCAAATTTGACATAAACATTGAATCACATGTTACAAATGAATTTTTAATATTATTATTTTTTTGTTACAAAAAAAAATTAATGCCCTTATAAGAAGAAAAAAGGGATGGTATGATAGAATTCACATCTTATATAATTTTCAATTGATTTTTAATCATTAGATTAGGGTTTGCTTAATTGAATTATTCGCTCACAAATATCGTCATCAAAGAAGAAAAATGAAAGCCATGTGTTTAGAAGCAGCGGCAGCAGCCGCCAAAACAACATTAATTTTCTAAATTATCTAAATTATTTGTACTATTCAAATACACAAATGTTGAATCTTCTTGAGCTAGCAAAAATGTCATTTTGGAGCACAAACATCATCTCGACTCTCGAGTTAACCATCAAATATTATTATTATTATTATTATTATTATTATTATTATTATTGTTTGTGTCATAACATTCGAAAACCTTGTAACTGTAAAGTAGGCTAAAATATATATAAAAAGAGAAAAAATTACAAGTTGGGTGTCAAAATCATATACTTTAGCTTCTAGATGCCACCCTCAGCATGTTGAGAGCGGTACCAAAAAAATCAAATTAATAAGCAGGAACAGAAAGAATCATTTGGCATTTGGGTGGAATTTGTATGGCACTAGCACATCCGAATTTCTTGTCTATTATTACAGCAATTTCTAACTTCTGGCCCAAGACAAGAAAAAGAAAACCCTCCTGTCGATAACAGGGCAAAGAATCCTTCAATGCTGCCATCTTTTTTTGATATTTCCTCATGTTCTAGATTAGCAGGAAGTTAAGTTGCTGGAAAATATTAAAATTGGACAGCCAGGAAGGTATGAAATGGGTTAGCCGTAATGTGGAATTCCTATTTTTTGTTTTGGGTCCGTATAATGCATGTGGAAAAATGTTAAAAAGGAGAATAATTCATTGATAGGATAGTTTTGTAATGGTAAAACAAAGATTGCATCAGCCTATATATAAACGGAATTTAAAGTAAATGAAAGGTAAAGTTAAAATGACTAAATTCAATATTTAATTTAGTGGATTCATGTCATAATTTTTAAGAGATGATATTGAAGATTTAAAATTTAAAATTATTTTTTATTGTTCAATTTTTACAAGTTACAGTTCTAACAGGTTATAGCTTTGACAAATCCAATTGGAAGCATATAAAATTTTGGTTATTCACTTCAAAATACAAAATTTTCATGCAGAACCTGGCAGCCCAAGTACCCAAAAAAGTTTTTTCAAGCACAATTGGTAAACAATGTTGGTAGAACATGCAAAATATAAAATCTATCTCTACTAACAGTTGTGGCCTGGTGGACTCTGAGCATGTGGTTGGCAAAAGGTGAACATGGTGATAAATCTTGTGAGAAGGGAAAAGGGAATGGTTGTAAATGACTTGACTCCATTACCCAACAACCCAATAAATGAGAAATCTGCTCGAAAATGTCTCTGGTCTTGTCTAAGCTGCGTGCATTAAAGATCGAATTGAGATTTTAACGACATTCAAGTTCATTACCAAAACATTAAACAATTTGCCAAAGAAGTATATGTATTTCAGCAAATATGTCAAAAAAATTAAACGGAAAAAAATTATAAAATCATTAAACATATAGGATTTTTGTGAGTAATTTATATTCGTAAAGCTTGAAAGCAAATTAAAATTTAACAAGATATGAATAACGATTTATTTTAATATTTTTTTTAGATCTATTGGTTTGATTTCGTAATTTTATTTTTCAATAAATCTTTTACAAATTTAAAAGCGATGTAAACATTTATATATTTAAACAAATTTTAATACAATCAATATGAGAATTTACTCTCCTTAGTCATCTAGACCGTAAAAATATGCATGATTCAACTGTTCATTGAGGAACATCTTGTTCTTCCTTGGTTGCAGCATATAAGAGGAAAAAATATACCTGCTTTGCTTAACTACAATTATCATGAGATCAAATTTTAATTTGATGTATTTACAAAGAAAAATTTGGAGGTGACATGTACTTTTTTTCATCAGTGCTTTTGGCTATGGTCTATTAAACTCTGTTAGAGCCTGAACTACCGATGAAACTCTTTTTGTCGTAATTTTTATCCTTGGATCAATCAAGTTGTGCCAAAAAAAGCATTTGCGCCACTCATTTTGTCCAACCTAATGAGCCCCATTCCAACCAAATCATGCAGTGATGCCCTGGCTAGCATAGGCTTTCAATTTCTCTTTTCAATCTTTCACAACAAAAAAAAAAAAAAAAGAAAAGAAAAGATTTCGAAGACAATTATACTTGTGATTCACATACATTGCACAATGATGAATTGATATAACCTGTGAAAGTAAGAAGTACTCATTTCATTATACCAAATCAGTATTTTAAATTTAATACCTAGGGCTGGCTTTATACATGACTGGCTACTTTTTAAATGTATTGCAATCAAATTAATCATCAGAATTTATCCTTTCATTAAATCCAAATAAAGATTTAAGGGAAAAATAAACAAAGAAATATTCTGCAGCCATTTTGGTAGCTTTCATTTTTTTTTATAGAAGGAAGGTCTTTTTTTTTTTTTTAAATAAAAAACTTGATATTTCAATTTGGGCAAGGCCCCTTTCATTACATTTTTTATTAATATTTTATATATATGTGAGTGATAGTATTTTTTTTTCCCATTTCATGTAGTATAAGCAATTAAGATGTAATTGAATTTGTTAATGAGATTTTGATTTAATAAAAAGAAGAAATTTTAGAATCTTAAGATATTAAGTTTAAATTTTATTATGTATAAGTTTGATTATATAATAACTTTTTAATTTATTAATTGATTATTTATTATTGTAATTCTTTTATAATATACTAATTATTTAGTTCATGATATGAATGTAACACTTATTATATTAATAATTTTTTTTTAAAAAATCTAATTGATTTTAATTTTAAATATCAATAGGCTAAATGTTTATATACGTTGATTCAAAAAAACCATGACCTAAGAAATTCTTGATGGTAATTCTATTAATTACTAATGGTACAATTGAAAGTAAAACACAAAAATATAATCCCAATATTGAAAATGATGCATTATCTTGTACTTGAAACAGAATCTAAATTAAAATTCGAAACTCAATTACGTTGCAGCCACCCTTCAAAATCCGTAAGTGTAAGATTTTAATTAAAATATTTATAATATTTTTTATTTTTAAATTACGATTTTTTTATAAAAAAATCTTAATAAACTCCTACTAAAAAAAAAAAAAAAAGGAAAATTAAGGATGCTAAAATATGAATGGTATAAGTTATAAAACGAAGAAAAACTGCAACTCCGGATTTATGTCACATATTACAGTAGGTAGATTTATAAAGGCGGCTCCTCGGGAGTCATAAACCAATTTCCCCTTGGGCCTTAGTCAATTTTACTCTCCTTCCCCTCTCCTTCCTCCCTTTCTTCCTTATAAAACCCTCTTATTTCTATCTTGATCCTGATTCCTATACTCGAATCTTCAGACCCAAGAAGTCAATGGAGATGGAAGTGGTGGTTCCGGTCCCTGCAGTGGACTTCAACTTCGATAGTACATGTTCATCTCCATACATGACTGCTCCTTCAAGTCCTCAACGCTTTGGCAATTTCTTCCTCAGTGCTCCAACCAGTCCTACTTGTGTTTCTTCTTTCCGTCGTGAGCTTATCGACTTGTCTCATGTCACCAATTCTTCATCTGCAGTCCCCTTCCAATGGGAGGAAAAGCCTGGTACCCCCAAAAGAACAGGTTTTGATGGCAGAGTCGACAGAGGACATAAGAGCAACGATGATGATGGTGATGGTGACGGTGATGGGTGTGAAGATTTCGAGTTCAACTTTAGTGGCCAGTTAGAGAGAACTTCTTTGTCTGCTGAGGAGCTTTTCGATGGTGGAAAGATTCGACCTTTGAAACCCCCGCCTGGTTATGAACAGTTTTCAAGTACCGTTTCTTCTCCAAGATCTCCAAAATCAAGAGCTTTTCGGCATAAAGATTTTGATCCATTTGAAGCAGCGATCGAGAAGAGTCGTAAAAGCGTAGTACTACTGAAACAACCACCACAACAGAAGCCAGAACATGATCAAAAGAAAACACAATTACAATCACAACAACGAGGGAGAGAAAGAACTTCTGGTTCTTCTTCCTCAACATCATCATCAAGCTACAACTATGTTCACAAAAAAAGCAGATCTTTGTCTCCTTTAAGAGTATCTGACGTTATGTTCGAGCAAGAAGAATGTTCATCACAATCCGAAAAAACCATTGCTGTCACAACAAGCTATCCTAAATCTTATGTTTCTTCAATCCTGTCAGCTATTTCGTTTTCAAAAGGTAACAGAAAATGGAAATTGAAAGACCTTTTATTGTTTAGGAGTGCATCAGAAGGCAGAGCAACAAGCAAAGATCCCCTTAGAAAATATGCTCTCTTGTCTAAGAGAGAGCCAGAGGATGTTAAAAATGCAAGCTTCCGGTCCACTGAGAGTGTTGGTTCGGTGTCCAGTTCCAGGAGGAGAGCACCAGTTTCGGCTCACGAGTTGCATTACACTGCCAACCGGGCTGTCTCAGAGGAGCTGAGGAGGAAGACTTTTTTACCTTACAAGCACGGCCTCCTTGGATGCTTGGGGTTCAATCCCGGACTGCACGAGATTTCCAGGGGTATTGGGTCTTTGACACGTAGATGATCAAGATTTCCTGATCTGGTGTCTCTTTTTTTTTAACGTATAGTTTTCAAAATCTCTTTCCAAGACGAAAAAAAATTATATATGATTATGAATCAAAATCTATTCGTTGCTTTGTATATCGTGTGTTTATCCATGAAATGAATTCAAACTCAAAATTGTTCGAAATTACATCACTGATAAAAGTACATCTATAATTAGATTTTTTAAAACTAAATTTAATAATTTAATAATTTATATTGTAATTATTTTGAATCAAATATGGATAAATATAAAAGTTATTATATCATAATTTTTATCTATATGTGAAAAAAATATATTTTTTAACTTTTTATGAAACATAAATTTCGTTAAAATTTAAATTGTATCATTTATTTTTATATTATTTTTATATTATATTATAGTATAATGTTTAAAATTAATGGAGCTACTTTAAACTACCTTTTTGTAGGGTTTATTTGGGAAAATTATTTTCTAGTTAAGCATTATGCCATTATGTTTAAACAAAAGGCAACTACCTTGTTCTTAACTGTTTATAACTAAATTGACGGCCTGCCATAGCCAATAACATTAATTTCTTCATTAACGTCAACTAGCAGCTCATAGTATTTCCAAACACAGCCAACAATATTAGCACTTTCTGAAATGATCAAATGATGGGAATTACTAATGTTTTAAAGCCAAATAAGTAGATTGTCAATGCATAGAGTTATGGGCATTTGATGAAAAAAAGTATAATGATTTTTTTTTGAAATATTTTAACAGACAATCAAAGATATTTTTGTCATTTGTGTTAATCTATCATGTCAGGTTGGTCTGACATGCTCAATACTACCTTAACTTGGCATTGTCCTGTCTCTTGATGGGTTCTTACAGCTTACCTATAAATATGAAGGTTTAGGCACCAAAAAGACAAGTCCATTCTACTATATTTCTCTCTTTCCTTTTCTTTTTCGACTTGAATCTTTCTTACTTGCGCGTTGAAGTGCAAACGTAGGGAACATACCTTATCTTTGCCTCTAACTGCCTTTCTTTTTTACCTTTTTAAGAACACCCCAAGATCGGAGCTTGACACTAATATTCGGTGCGCCAGGTAAAGGCCCTTTTTCTTTCATTAGTCGAGTGTAAAGCAATGTTGCCAAAAAAGAAAACCTTAGAAGAAAGAGAGACAGCTATTCTGGCTGGAACAGAAACCCATCATAGTTAGCATTCCATCTAATCAGCCCAACCATAGCTGAGGCTGACCATAGAATAATTTCAAGTCCTGATCGAATAGATAAAGGCTTTCAAGCAGATATTACAAACCATAACCCCATCCTAAGTTTTAAAAGTGTCTGACTTAATCATTTTTGACCGATGAACTACTATCAGATAATCAAGCTATGAAAAGATAGAAGCCTGCTTGGCCTTCAGAGATGAAAAGCACAGAACTCCAGCCTACTATTACTTTAGCCACAACTCAACATAGGCTATGACCTAAAAATCCAAACAAACAAACCCCAAACCTAGCTAAACAGAGATATAAAAGCTCATATGCATATCATTAAAAAAAAGCTAAAAACGAAAGCGGTAGCCTTTGAGGATGAGCTCAAGTTCTTGAAGACCTTGCCCTTCACTAAAGAGATTGATAGACCCATGCCCCTAAAGGGTTTAAAATGCCAAACTTGGAAACCTACGATGGTACTTCTGACCCTTTTAATTATTTAAAACTTTATAGAACTAACATGATGATACAAAAAGTAGATGAGGCTCTAATGTACAAAAACCTAGCTATTACACTGAAGGGTGCAGCTCGATCTTGGTACAACAACTTGGAATTGAGGTCAATCACGACATTTAAGAAGCTTAACCACTTTTTCTTATCCAAGTTTATGAGTAGTCAAAGAGCGAAAAAGATGACTTTAAGTTTGATGTCAATCCATAAAGGATGAAATGAAACTTTGAAGAGCTATGTCACGCTTCTTAATGTAAAAGCTTTGCAGGTTAAAGATTTGGAGTAGATGGAGGCCATAGCCACCTTAATAGTGGACTCTATTACAAAAAGTACCATATGAAGTTAATATTATCGCTAGAATCACCTAAAACCTTGATCGATGTCCTACTTATAATTGAAAAATACATAAATGCTGAAACTACAATAAAAACTAACTGAAGGTTAGAAAGGCTCATCCCCTTTTTCGATCATAAGAAAGATAAAGATTTTTATGATTCTCTCCTAAGAAAGAGATGACATAGGGCTAGAAGCCCGGTAGAGAAAGAAGCTACATTACACTAAATACCTTATGATAAAGGATTATGATGTAAATTGAAAGAAACCCTGACCTTATATGGTTAAAGCCATTGAGATAGAACATGATGAGGGATTTGATCAAAAGATATGCCTTTCACAGATATATAGGTCATAACACTGAAGATTATATCGATCTAAAAAATAAAATTGAAGCTTTGATAAGAAGAGGCCAACTGAAGAGATTGGTGAGATAGATAAGATAAGACCAACCTAGAATAAACTACAGACAATACCGAAGAGGGTCCATCCGAAGCAGAGAGAGATGCGTAAAACATGAAAAAAGAAAACCTGAGGAGATAAGTCAATTTAAGAAAAGATCCAAACAAATAATAATAAATCAATTACTAAAGTGATTAATGTGATCAATAGAGGTAGCTCTACTTTCGTCAAGAGAAAGTTTAACCCAGGTATGATTATGACAGTAGGTACCTCGATAAAAAGAGAAAAAAATTAAAGAGATGAGCCAATCTTATTTAGCTTGAAATATCTTGAAGAAATCTAACACTTATACAATGATGCTATAATAATCACAACCGTAATGTATAACTATGTTGTCAAATAATGGGAGTTTAGCTCACGTCATGAACTACAATTGCATAAAAAAATGAAAATTAGTGAAAATTAGTTGAAACTAATTACCACAACACTTTTGGTGTTCGAGAATGAGCAGGTACCATTAAAAATAATCATTAAGCTTTCGATTTTCTTGGGGATTAAACTGAAGACTATCACCTCGGTTATAAAATTCATGGAGGTAGACATCCCATAAGTTTATAACATGATATTAGATTAATCTAGCCAGTCTATTATGTGGCTTATATGCTCAGTTCATAATTTGAAAGTGAAATTCCCAATATCTAATAGGGTTGGAGAGGTCCAAAGAGACCAGTCTATAGTATAGTAGTGTTATGTTATAATAATAAAGGGTAAAACAGGGAAACCGATGTATAATTCGATAAAAACTGAGGTAAAAAATAAAGAAAGACAATCATCAGAAATTAACAAGAAGCATGAAGTCACCAACAAGAGCACAAAATGTAAGACCGACTTGACAGAAGCGCATTTTTAAGTCACTTTAAGCTCTAACAAAAAAAAGTTTTTATTCTATTTTTAAAATTTTTTAAGGTAACTACTAAACACAATTAAGCTTTTAAGCTGACGCACATAATCACATGTCATTTGGACCGAGCTAATGCATCGGTTAAAATACAATATAAAATGAAAAATACATACCAATTTCACTATATACATATTCAATAAGTTACCCATGATATATTGATCATCTCATCAGAAACTGTTTTCATAGAAAATGGTCTCAACTTAATTGAATAAAAAGATATAATTAATCAAAGACTAGATTCAGACGAAAACTAATCTAAGTTGATCAAAGATCTTGTAATAGTTTTGTTCTGGGATAACATCCTTGGAAAACATATATAGATCGAAGCTAAACTTTAACATAAGGATCAGTTAATTCAACTCTTAAAAGATAATGCTAACTTATTCACTTGGACACCATCCGATATACCTAGGATTGATATTGAGATGATCGTTTATAGGCTGTACGCTAATCCCAAGGTAAAACCAGTTTGATAAAAGAAGAGAATCTTTACCCAAAAAGACAACAGGTTATCGAGGAAGAGATTAACAAATTATTGTGAGTAGGCTTCATTAGAAAGGTCTACTACCTTGAATGAATAGCCAACGTGGTCACGGTTAAAAAGCAAAGTGAAAAATAGAGGATATGCGTTGACTTTACTGACCTGAACAAAGCTTGCTCGAAAGATAGCTTTTCTTTTCCTAGTGTAGATCGGTTGGTGGATGATAATGTTGAATATGGCTTTCTTAGTTTTATGGATGCTTATTCTGATTATAATCAAATCAAGATGCTATAGGATGATGAAGAAAAGATAATTTTTATTACTAAGAAAGGCCTTTACTATTACAAAGTAATGCCCTTTGAATTGAAGAACACAGGGACGATCTACCAAAGGCTACTAAACAAGGTGTTTAAAAACTAGATCAATCGTAACATAAAAGTATACATGGATGACATGATTGTCAAGAGTAAGAGCTTGATCGAGCACCTGAAAGACCTTAAAGAGACCTTCAACACTTTGAAAAAGTATACTATGAGACTTAACCTAAACAAATATGTTTTTTAAGTCACATTGGGGTAAGTTCTTCGGTTATATGATCAACAAAAAAAAAGATAAAGATGAACCCAGAAAAGGTTCAGGCGATCTTGAACATGAAGGCACTGACTTCAATAAAAAAATAGAGGTTAATTGATAGAATAGTTGCCCTAAGCTAATTTATGTCCAAATTAACATAATAATGTCTACCATTTTTCAAAATCCTCAAGAACATTTTTGACTTCAAGTGGACTCCTCAGTGCTAAAAAACTTTTGAAAGACTCAAAGAATTTTTATCCTCTCCAATTTTATCCAAGTCGAGACCTGGTGAAATTTTATACTTATACGTAGCCAGCACAGACCAGGCCATCAGCTTAGTCCTAATATGAAAAAAAGAAGGGAAACAAAGACCAATCTATTTTGTAAGTAAGATACTAATGGGGCCAGAGACTAACTACATATAGAGAAACTGGCTTATGCCATTGTCACTTCAATAAAAAAACTCAAGTTATATTTTTAAGCCTACACAATTCACGTATTGATCGACTAACCACTGAGATAAGTCTTATAGAAGTTTGAAATATCATAAAGGCTAATTAAATGAGTGGTGGAGCTCAACGAGTTTGACCTACACATATTACCTAAGTCGACCTTAAAATCATAGGTGATGGTAGACTTTGTTACAGAACTTACCTCGATACACCCTGAGAGATAATTCGAAGAAAAAAAAAATCCTAGATAAAGATGA